GTATCCTGAAAGCATGTTGCTCATTGTGCTGATGCAACATGCCAATAAATTTGGAGCCAATAGTTTTCCTAAATAACTCCAGTCCCCTGTTGCTGCTGTAACTGGAGTGAAGAAGAGCAGGGGTGGGGGAGATGTGAATAGCGTACGGAAGATAATGTTGAAATAGAATATCCAGAAGAGAAGGAACCTGAAGCACCATTTTTATCAAATGCTGTTTTAGGCAGTGGGTGATATAGAACAGACTGCCCTTTCCTTCTTCTCAATTTTGAAAATAAATTCATAGTCAGAAGCAGTTTGCTAACATAAATAGGCAGTGCTCTTTATATTAATCTTGCGCATCAATTCCTATTAACCACGTTTCTGTGGTTCTAAGACAGTGGTTCTCAACCTGTGGGTCGGGATCCCATTTGGGGTCGAACGACCATTTCACGGGGGTTGCCAAACAACGCAGTCCGCCATTTTTTCCCCTTTTTCTTAGCTGTGCTACTCCCTTTTATTCTATTGGCTTTTGAAAGCCAATAGAATAGACTCTCTTGAATAGACTCTCTTGAAAGCCAATAGGAATTGTCCAGGCTGTCTCTGCCCTGCTGAGCCCGCCAAAAGTCCCATTCTGCAAACGGTGCTGCAACAATTGAGTAGTCCTCGATTTACGCCCGGTTGAGTAGTCCTCGACTTATGACCGGTTGGGGGTCGCGGCATTAAAAAGGTTGAGAACCACTGTTCTAAGATCTGGCAGCAAAACACCCTACAAACCATATAACTTATAATCTATTGCCTCTAGAATAAGTGAAATCGTTTCAGTGTGGATTGGAAAATACAGGGGTTAAACAGGCGCTCTGCAATACAGTAGAAATCATGCACTGCCTGGCTTTCAAAAAGGAGTTCTTTAAACCCTCTCATAATTTAATAGGAAGTTTTTTTTCCCTTTAGGTTATTATTCTGAACTAACAAAAGCAATAAAAATAATAAAAATGTCAGTATGGTACTTGGAAGTAAAGCAATACATTAGGGCCATAATAATTGTTCAAAATGATAAGGTTGCCTTTAAAAAAAAAGATGGCTTGGAATAGTAGGGTATTATAATAAAGCAGTGCTCTATAAAAATATTTTTTATGATATTGAAGATTACACTATGAATTGGACTTTGCCGAGAGATTTTGTAAATATAGAACATATTTCTGAGTCTGTGTGAGGGTAAATTAAGTTTGAATTACTGTGCATTGTTTTTTTATATATATTTTTAAAGTTTTTTATTTACAATACAGTTAAAAAAGAAAATATTGGACATGATGTAACACTCCAGTATAAACATTTCTGTCAAGTTATTTCTCTTCTTACATTTAGTTCTTTATCTCTGTAGATACATATTTTTTATACAATACTTAATTCATTTCTCTATTTGTTAGCCTAAAATTATATACATTTCCATATTGACGCTAATCTATAACCCCAACAGTCCTCCTCAACTCCCACCAAGAGTAAAATTTATCCCAGATTTTAAAGTATTCAGATCCACTTTTATCTTTCAGTTCCATCGTAAGCCTGTCCATTTCAGCACAAGATAGTATTTTGTATAGTATTTCTTCCTCTGTGGGAGTTTCTTTGTTTTTCCATTTTTGTGCAAACGCCAGTCTGGCAGCCGTCAAGATGTGCAACATCAAATAAACTATCCCCTAATCATATTTCTCTGTGGCTGTGCATTGTTAATGGTTCTTTAATGACTGATTATTTGTTTTTAAAAAGAGAACCAGGTCCATGTTTTATTTCTCAGGAACTCTTCAGAATCACGCTCGAAAATATAACTTGCCGATTGATGAGCTTAGTTTTAGTTACAACGTCATTCCTGTCTTCAGAGACCAAACACAAGTATCAGAAGCTTCAAAACTCTGCCACTTTGGAAATGAATTACCAATGGATGAAAAGGTATTTACAAGTCTGCAACTGCAATGACTATCCAGCCACAAAGAACTTGAATTCACATGAAGTACCTTTACATAAAACCATCACGTTTATCTTGTACTGTGGTAGATTTCTGATACTTTTTTTAAAATGTTTTGCTATGTTTGAAGAACATGTACCTGGGTAAGGTAGAAACTTGATAGCGATAATGAATGAGTAGCTCAGCTTTGACTTCCACCTTCTACCTTATTTTTTTCAGTTACCTTCTCCAAAGGATGGGGTGTTGGTCCATGGCATGTTTATGGATGCTAGTCGTTGGGATGAGGATGAAATGGTTATAGAAGATGCGTTACCTCGACAAATGAACCCAATGCTTCCAGTAATTCATTTTGAGCCGCATCAAAATTACGAGCCCCATCCATTGTTGTATCATGCGCCCCTCTACAAAACAGGAGCTAGAGCAGGAACTCTGTCTACCACAGGTCATTCTTTTTTCTATAACATTCACTAGATATCCAATATCAACTTGGCAAATATACATGAATGACAGCCTAGCAAATGACTTTTATTCAAACACCACAAGGCAGATGATGCTTTGAAGGGGCATCCTGGGACAGATGTAGCAGAGAATCCCCCATCTAACTCAAGGGTGCAAGAGGTTGCAAGGAACCACTGATCCAGGCTGAAGAACAGCTTGATCAAAGGCCAGAGGCCTAGGCAACATAAGAGTAAAGTCCTGTCTATCGATCAGGTGATATTATTATGTTAAAAAAATGCAGGGAAACCCTCTACGTTACCAAAGTCCCACTCTTGAAATTTGCCACATCGATAATATTTATAAGTGTTTTCAAAAGTACTTGGAATGGATCCTACTCCTGAACCAGATCCTGGGAGTAGATAAATCCTTCCTAAAAAGCAAGTATAATTTCTTTTTTATCTGGAATCTGGTACAAAAAATGCAGAATCAAGTTATTTCAGGTTATCAGATGTCACTCTTTTTTCTTAAGAAGTATGTATGCTTTGCTGTAAGAGATCTTCCCCTTTGCAAATAGCTCATGGAATAAGAGTGCAGATTGCCAAACCTGCTGTTTATTAGTGAATTTGCTTCTGGGGATGTGGCAAATGGGGATAATGCCACATGAGTCAATGAATGTGGGCTGATGTTCCAGCTTCCTGACAGTTTCATAGATATTTTTCCCTAGAATTATGAATGAGAAAGTGGAAGTGAAAAACTCCAGGTAATTTGAATAGGGAGATGAATAGTGATGTGTTGGGGGCATTCCACTCCATTGAAGCTGAACAGTATATAAGGATATGACATCTGTTGCTAAATTCTGTTTCAGCTCAACTCAAAAGAAGTGAGTAGCACAGCTGATGAACCATCACAGATTGTTTGGTTGATTGTTTTGCTGATTTCTATATGCTTGCTTCCTTTATTACACTACTGGTAGAACACATAAATCGTTCATAGGTATAGTATGTCATATGAACTAAAGGCCTTCTTAAATGAAAGTATTAAGAAAATCGTTTATGGCCAGCTTAACAGACTCAAGTTCTGAGTGCTTTGTTGCCTGTTGGCTGAATTCCTTATCAGCAGTGAAGAGAAAATAAATAGCAAATTTTTAGTATTTCAACTAATGAATAAATTGTTTTAAACTTCTTTAGTTAAAGCCCTATCTTCCAACTTGTAACGTTCTCCTGTGGCATGTTTATTTTCACCTGATCCCACAAAGATTTATTGTCACATCTGATCCAGACTGGGACCTTTATGCAGCACTAGGGACAAAATTTAGTGCCGCTGGTCACCAGACATTAATACAGAAACAGATGCCTAGAAATAGCTTCATTCCAACTATGTAGTTGTTTTAAAATAATTTGGCAAACTTTTGTGCATTTATCTTTGTATCGTTTGCACTAAATGTGTCCATTGTCTCCTATTATCCCCCAAAGAAAAATCATCTAAAGAAAATGGTTTGATCTCATCATCTATAGTAGATCAGGGCAACTCAGGCCCTTACTTGCTGCTACCAGATTAGAATTTGCCTTTAATTTTTTTGAGTTGAAAGGCCAGAAGAAATGTTCATTTTAAAAGATGATTTTATTAAGTTCTTATTTCCTAGAATGGCAGGAGCCTGATTTTCAAGCATTATGGTTTAGTGTGCTTGTGTGCCATATCTGAGCACGTCGCAATTATGTTGCGATTCACCGTAATCAATGCAAGTATCTGAGGAATAATGACAATTTAACCTAAAAGATGCATGCAGGTGTCTGATTTATGATGCCTGCATTTTGAAACCACATAAGCACAGTAAGGTGTACTTTGCCAAAAGAGTATGCAGTTTTCCAGAAAAGTCAGCCTATTCCACAGCCCCACACAAGTTGACCCAATTCATTGGAATCCCAGGCCTCTGATGGGCTGCATGCAGACCCCCTAAGCTTCCAAGGCAGTCTGCCTGGATGGCTTTCTCAACCCTTAGTTCTTGCTGTCACCTTCACATGCCCTACTGTCAGCAGTCGTCAGATCAGCAGGGGACTCAGGCAAGCGTGATACTGCATTGAAGAAGAGAGTATTATGAGCTCCTTCTTTATAGTGCTCTCCTCCTGACAAGACGAGAAAAACTTTTCCTTTCACATCTGTACCCCTTTGTCAACATGCATGCCAACTGGTTAGCATCAGCAGTATACCAGTGCCCAAATGTTGCCCAACTATCTCAACCATATAAGGAGTAAGTTATACTGGTTTTCTTTTTGTATAGAACTTATTCTGAGGTTTGGGTGTACGATGGGGGGGGGGTTGGCAGCTTAGGAACATGGGGAGTTTGAAACATTAACAATTTTTTCTTTTTTATAATTAGGTCATTCTACCAATTTTGTGGTTACCGTCTTACTTCCTTCAAAAAAACCAAGCGACTACTGGATATCCAAAGGATCTGCATTACTTTGCCAGCTAAATGAATAATCAGCAGGATAGGGTTTCTGTCTACAAGCAAGACCTTGGCATCATGCTGAGACTCTATTCCAGGTGGGGAATAGTAACACTCCATCATTGTCATGCCTGTGGAAATAGATCCCTGCATAAACACATTGTCAGAAGGCCATACTTCTCTTCAACTTGGTTTTAATATTCAGGAATCAATATTCACTTTTCATTTCTCTCCATTCCTTTGCATGTATTCATAGGCAGATTACATGGATTGTTGCATCAGTAATACAGCTGTTTTTAAAAAATGTCAAAAAAGTGCATGTTTTGTATCAAATTATTATCTTATTGTGAATTTTATCCTTTTAGTCTTTTTATTTCATTTTCTTTGTAAATGCAATCTGATTATAAAAGAAGATCCTTTAAAAAAAAAACCAATGGTCTTGGCTGCTTCTGTTTTATCTGTAAAATGTCATACGTCCTTCCTCGGTTTCTCTCGAACCTTTCTACATGAAATAATTATTGGGGAAAGCTATCATCACAATTTGGCAGCTTGCAAACAATTGGAAAATTTTACATTGTATACTTCCAAGAGTTGATGGGTACAAATTGTGATCTTGGGTGAGTTTAATGTATGGTGCGATTATCTGCATTTGGCAAATCACTATTTCAATCCTGAAGACTTATTGTAAAAAAAACAAACAAAACCCATGGTCTTAATGAATGGAAAAAATCAGGGAAAAATCCTTTATTCATTAACCGTGGTGTCAATTGGGGGGGGGGAGTTAGAGTAACAACATCTTTCTGTGATCTTATAGGCTTCTGAGACTCTTGAATCTTTTTATTCTATGGAAAAAAAACTTTATAATTTTTGCTGTAGAAGGTAAAAACTACAATTCAAGTAGTCATGCCCAAGTTTTAATGTGCAGTTACGCGTGAGTGGAATGTGTATTCCATTCAAAGCAATATAGTGCAGAAAAACTGAATCTTGCTTTGATGTGCATTAATTTTGCTCATCGGACTATATCTCTGATTTCTATCAATAGTTGTCAGTAATAAGTGAAACGTGCTGCTTTCTGTGCACGTTTGGGGTTGTGGTATATATCAATTGTAAGAAAATTAAAATCAATATGGTAAATGCAATTTAAGGACATTGGAGATGTTCAGACATACATTCAAAGACAAAGATAATAAGTGAGCAGCTGCAGCTGCAGATTAGGGAAAGGGTGTAATTTATGTAATAGAAAAACAGAATATTCAACAATGAAAACATTTTTAACTTATTAGAAAAAAGTATTGCATTGACTTCACATTGTTATCAAGTGGAAAATGTTTCAGATTATCACAGTGATAATAAAAGCTAAAACTTGCCGTTTATTTGGCAAACAGCTACTGACAGCATTATTCAATACATTACTGTAGATGAAATCTGTGTTAAACAACGATGCCAAACAAAAATATTGAAAATGATACATTTAGCAAAGATCATGTTTCTAGGAAGAATTTACCAATGCAGCAACATGTTCACTAGTGTTTCCTAGTAGCATATACAGTATATGTTCTATTTACTCAGCAAAGTGTATGCTGTGTGTCTGATTTCTTGTCTAATATTATTGGTGATTATGATCACAGGTATAGGGAGAAGACACTATTTGAAACAAATAACAAGTAACAGAGCCAATTCTGTATCTAGAATATCTAACACCGGGGAAACAATTGGAATTTGAAACCCGTGCCGACTTCTTTGTTTTAAATACCAAATTCAGCACAGAAAGTCTCGTTGTTCTTCAAAATTAATGGCACCATTTCATAATTTCCAATTACACGGAGCATTTTTCTACTCATCTCGGAGAGCCTTATGTAAAATCTTTTGTAACAGCTTCAATAAAATTCGGAGCGGACACGAGAATTGTAAGCGTGCAGATGATGGCAAAAAGTGAAAATGCCACCAGGCACAATCTGTCTATGACAGCAGCTGCGAACTTCCACTCGCTGCAGACCTCTTCCCCTTCATCCTGTTTCCGGAAACGGGCTGCAATGAATTGAACTTCTTCCAGGATTTTCACAATCACTGGGATGGCGTCCATTAAAACTTTTCTCTGAGTGCTGTCATTATCTTCAGGCAAAGAGCTCTGGTCCTTTCCGCCCTTGGTGTCCATCTCATTATTCTGTGGGCAGAAGGGATTTTCCATGGCATGGTAGCTATAGATCATGTTGCCATTGCTAGAATGGTGTCCTGGTAAGATGTTCATCTCTACACTGCTGACACTGGACTGGTGCCTCGAGTGGCCGTATCGGCAAGAGAGAGGCCGGATGTTCTCCCCTGGTTTTTTCATTCTGAGAAACCAAGCGCACCAGTTCAGCAAGATGACACGGACCTGAAAAAGACAAACTCTCAGTGCCCTTCGTGGAGGTCTTGCATAAAGAGAGCCGGGGGGGGGGGGGAACGTGGTTCACAAAGGATATTGCCGTTTGGTACATTGCTATATGAAGCATAGCAACTCATTACAAAGATCTTGGACAAAGTCATTTTTCAATTATTTGCCTCCTCCAGCCCTTCCTCTCTAGCCTTAAGCCGTTCATCTGGGGGAAAAAAACCACCTCAGGTATTTTCACAAAATCGCTGTTTTATCCTTGCCGCAGAAACAGATTTTTTCTTAAAGATACCTATAATCCTTCATAATAAGGCTTACAGATAGCTTTAGGAAGAATGTGATTGCTCCCAAGAAATTAACATTTGCCAAGAATCCAATCACTGGAAAGTTGCATTTATTGAAGTTGAAGAAGTTTAATTTGATTGAAAGCGATTGCTAAGCCTGTTAAATGTAACGAATGGGAAAAGACCAACCGCTATTTTGACACAACCAGTCAAAACGTTTTCATTTATTTCTCTATCATGTCCTATTTTACTCTAATTGTTGGGCAGAAAAATCCCTAAGAACTTTGAACCAGCTTCCGACATGAAAAGGGTAACACTCTTGTACAGGTAGTCCTCGACTTATGATCACAATTGGGACAGAAATTTTGATCGCTGTGCAACGAGGTCATTGAGTCATTACAAGACCAGGCCCAACTTTATGACCATTTTTATTGTGATCATTAAGCAAGTCACTGGCCATTAAGCAAATCATACACTTATAGTGCGAATGCGGCTTCCCCCACTGACTTTGCTTGTTGGGAGATGACTGGGAAAGTCGCAAATCACAACTGCATGATGCTGCAATTGTCATAAATGTGAGCTGGTTCCA